CAGGGCTGTCGTGGGGAGATGAGGTGTAGTGCTGGGCCCCTGTATGGAGAAGAGGTGCAGTGCAGGGCTGTCGTGGGGAGATGAGGTGTAGTGCCGGGCCCCTGCATGGAGAAGAGATGCAGTGCAGAGCTGTTGTGGGGAGGTGAGGTGTAGTGCTGGGTCACCGTATGGAGAAGAGGTGCAGTGCAGAGCTGTCGTGGGGAGATGAGGTGTAGTGCTGGGCCCCTGTATGGAGAAGAGGTGCAGTGCAGGGCTTCCGTGGCGAGGTGAGATGCAGTGCTGGGCCCCTGTATGGAGAAGAGGTGCAGTGCAGGGCTTCCGTGGCGAGGTGAGATGTAGTGCTGGGCCCCTGTATGGAGAAGAGGTGCAGTGCAGGGCTTCCGTGGCGAGGTGAGATGTAGTGCTGGGCCCCTGTATGGAGAAGAGGTGCAGTACAGGGCTTCCGTGGGGAGGTGAGATGCAGTGCGGTATCTTTATGTGGAGCAAAGGTGCAGTGCGGATGTGTATGGAGATTCAATTTACTGCAGGACACACATGACGCATGTTAGAGCTTCTGCCTCCCGGTCCACCCACCCGTGGCGCAATGGGCTCGGTTCGCTTTAGGCGCTCGCTATTTGCCCATGACAGCGGCCGTGCTTAAGGTCAAGTGAGTTCAGGGCGAACCGTGCCGAGGATTGCGGCGCGATAAGCTTTTCCCACCAACTACGCTGTCGATCCGGATCTGCGCGATAGAATGGAAGACGTCAAGACACACACAGTTAACAGTGCTTAACGCGAGCCCTGCTCCCGGAAATTCATGCATTCAAAGTGTTTGGATTACATCTTAGCGAAAGCAAACATTGTTTAAGTAATGTGGACGCACATTGTGCGATCTGTGGTATTTAAGTTATAGGGTGAAAGTCACATCAGGCCAGTGAAAAGTGGAGCAGGTGGATAGCGATGCTCATTTTCAGCTCACTTTGTTGATCGGTGCTTACATGCAGCGGACGCTGATCTTTTAAAGGCCTCGCCACATCGTGACCTTGAGTCATCCTTGTCTACATGCTTCAGCTGAACTGCCCTGCCCAAATATGTAATAGTAGGTATAGCACGTGGATGGTACAGACTGCTTGCTCTTGTGTACTCTTGTTCTCCATTACGTAACATCTACATTTTGATTATTATTTTGATACATTACAGACTCTGTGACCTCGTTTGACCTAGCACAGACTCCTCACATGGTTTTCAAATACTGATCATTTGAAATAATGTTTTATATGAACCAGGATGTCCTTTCTCTGTTGTGTCTTATCTATTTCTTGTCTTTTGTTTCTATTTTCTATTTTTTGTTTTTTCCCTTTCCTGTGTTATGTTTTCGTTCGTCAGGGAGTCAACGACGGACCGAATTTGCGTATTTTTCATGGCATGCGTTATCCATAGTACCACACCCATGCATCACAAAGCACGCAGTGTGTGAGAATTGAACTGAATTCAATTGAATTTAACTGAACAAAATCACACCGTCCTCTATTTGACTTCCGGTGGCAAGCTCCCTCTCTGTCATACTTCTTACGTGGTGATCGAACAGATCGTCTTTGATCAATTGATCGTGTTGTTGGTAACAGCGAAGCTTGCTACCAATAGCCGCCGTGCAACACTGAAACGCAAAACGGGTCCATGCGCGTGCAGCGAATTGTATTGAAAAATGACCTTTTATCTCAAAAGCCGCCGACACTTTGCCTGTTTTCACGTGGTGAGGTGCAGGGGCAGGTTTGAAATACAGAAAACGTGGATAAGATGGAAAATGTGCGGCATCGTGAGTGGCTTGAGAGAGAGTGGGAAAAATGTAATGATCTCGCATTGACCCTTCTTCTGGCGACTTTGGCAGCTCTGACCCTCTTGTCAGTTGAAAACATCGTCACCCGTGATATCTCTTTAGCGCAGGGTTGCAAAAGGCTTACTCGCGAAACACGTCGGATATATTTGCGAACAACGCTACGGCTCCAATATTCAATGAGTTTCAAGATGATTGGGAACGTGCCCTGCCCCTGTTGGCACCGCTCTTGGCCGTTCCCATAGCCTTGCGCTAGTTGGCGTCCTTTTTTGTATTTGCCTTCAATAAATCGGTTTCGTCAGTGGTTTCTGCCGAGCTAAAACCCGCAGCGCACAGATATTGTTAAAAGCCAACAGCCTACCGCCCGGTCACGCAGCGGTGATTGGCCCCCGGTGAGGCTGGGTGAATGTCAAATGTCAGACAACCGTAAATTTGGGCCGCATTCCTGCGGTACTGACAGCGTATTGTGTTAAACCTCTTAGTTCAGGGGGTGGAACACCCCTGTGCCTCTCCTCGCTTCCTTGGCTTCGTGCCTGTTCCTTTGCTGTTTTTTGGGGGCGAGCCGGCGGGCCGAGACCTGACGAGCGTCGGCATCGATACGGCCGCCGCTTCCCCTCCCCCCTCCCCCGCCTCCGGCGGTGGTCCAAAAGTGCCTAGTCACCACCCCGGCCAGCTTACGCCGCGAACGTGAGCGGAACCCCTCCCTCCAGACGGAGGGGGCAGGGGAATCACGAACGACCGCCGGAAATGATGAGGAGGTTGGCAAGCATGTCGAGGTTGAATGCCGACCAATCGTCTGAAAGTGGAGACAAGCGGTGACAGATTACGGGATGACGGGTCCATTTTAGGAACAGGATCAGAGCGCAATGGCGGCCGGATAAAAAAGACAACGAGCGACACACAAGTGACTATAAGGTCCCTGGAAACATGTCCAAAGCTTAGTCCTTGTTCTTGTTTACAGAGTAATTGATTGACGAAAATGAATGATGTGCTGTGTCCGATAAACACCAGTTCCTCTGCTAAGAGCGCTCTAAGCCTTTGATTATAGGTGCCCTTTGTTTTATATTTTCTTCGCAAAGGAGATTTTATGCTATTGATTGTACGTGCTTTAATTGTTAACATCATGTTCACCGCTCCTTCTGCTGTCAGAAATCTCACGGAACAGCATGCAACTGCGCGGAGGTATTCATATTCTGATGTATGACGCTCGGGAAGCGTCCGCGATGTACGCGATGTCCGCGATGTACGCCTGAAATAATTATCAGAATAGTCACATGGTGCCAAGCGAGCAGAGTACTAACGACCGCTTAGTATATAACTCGTCAAGACCCGTTATCAGAAGACTATCGTATCATATAAGTTACTTCGAATCTGTTCTTTGATTAAGATGAAAATATCGTTGTCAATTAACATTTCTAAATGGTCTGTCGGGGCTTGGGATCGTGTATTATTGCGCAGCGCGTTTGGTGAGTAACTTGGTGGATTGGCGTAAACAAGAGTGCTGTTATTTGGTTTTCTTAGAATAAAGAAACCTGACTGAGAAAATGAGTCGAACCTCAACGATTGAACGAACCCGAACGAAAACCTAACCTCTGAAGAGGAGAACCTACTAACTTCCAACAGGTGGCGGTTGTCTCCGACTGGGCCAGTGTTTAGACCAGAACTTTGCAGGATCGTTAGAGCGTCTCCAGACATCAAACGCATCAGGAAGGGTGGGGAGCAGCTTTTCACCTGTTCAACACAGCAAGAAACTTTGTTTTGTGATCTCAGCCCTATGAATTGTTAAGTTTCCCGACCCAAATCAATGACAGGATATCGGTCGGGAGCTCATGCTTTAAACATGCAATATGTACACGTTATATGTGCATGTTGCCTACATGTTACGCCTAACACAGCGTAGTCAGGGGGGGGGGGGCGTCACCCCGTGTAACCAGTGCGTAACCGGAGGAGGAGGGAAAATCTAAAGTTGGTTCAAAATCCGTTATGTAATTCATGGATGACCCCATTACCCATCATGCGCAAGATAATACACACCTTGCTTTTATTTTTCACGACGGGCCAACAACTGTCTTCCAACATTAGCTTGTAATCCCAGCAAATTAATACGACTTAATGACGATTTGTCGTTTCTGCACTATTTTAGCTGGCTCTGTTGCCCTGTGGTCTAAAGTGAAATGAGATTGTGATACTGAGAACCACTGGAAGGCGATCTTCATTTCTCATAGCCCATTTTAAAGTAAAAACTTACCAAAATATTGCAGTGGAAAAGTTAACGGCTGGCAAAAGGAAAGTACATCACACCCGAACCAAGAAATGCTCGTACTATGCATGACTATCGAGCGCTTTTCGGCTGACGCGATCCGTTCGGTGAGGGCGGCAGCACGTTAATCACGCCTGAATGGCAACACTACGTGAGCAGATTTAAAACCGAAGCGCACTTCCTTGCTTTCAACTTCGAGCTGACAGCAGAGTCGCTGCTTCGAAATCTAGACGCTAGATTTCGTGTTGGTTAAAGACAGAATATCGTAAATATGACAATGCCAAGCTGAAAAAGTTTTATTTTGGAAGCATTTGATATCTGACCTGGCATAGTGAATTAACTATTTACCTAACAGCAAACAACTTATCATCAATCGCGAGAAAAACAATATCATCAATCAGTCCGCGTAATGAAACCCGGCGAACGAATGAGGGCGAGAGCTGCGTCCTTCAGCCTTTTCCAAACTCCGCCCTGTGCTATGATGACGAGTACCCCTGCCTGTGGTTGACGATGGTGGGGCACCACCTGACCTGCGGTGTATCAGCCAAGGTGCTCGGTCCCCCCTCGCCTCAGTGTTAGCGCTTCGGATGACCGCTTCACCTGCTGGAGCGCTGGCCCGTCTCATACGAACTCGCCCGAAGAGCTGCTCCGCGCGCGTGCCTAGGGAACCCTCCGAGCCGCTGGTGAGGGGCGCCGTCATTAAAACTCCTCACATGCAAAGCCCGCCGCTCTATCTAGAGCATTCTTGAGACGAAGAGCGGCTCGCTAACTAGCGCCCGGCAGTGAGACGTCGACGATATGAAGCCGAGCGCTGCGATTGAAAAGCCGGTATTGATGTCGGTTTCGGATAAAGGACAGCATCTTTGTCGTCCAAACATCACGATGCCTTTGATGTCTGCGTGTAGTGACGAGCTTCCTCTGTTCCAGGTGCGTTACGGGGATGCGCGAAAAATTTTTACAATTTGGCCGTTCGGTTTGAAGTCATCTTTACGACGGAGGAAAAAATAAATGAAACAGACACCGTCCATCACGTCAGATTCAAGTAAGCTGTTCGCTTCTTTCCATGTGCTAATCAAACCCTTTGTTGTCGGTTATCTATACGTGGTGATTCAATCACACACTTGACTTAAAATTATTGTATATGGAAAATCTTTGTTATCCCTCTAATATCTTAATATCCACTCTTTCTTTCCTTCTGTTGCTTTTGTCCCCCCTTCCGTTCCTTTCTCGTTCCCTTGTTACTTTGCTGATGGCACACAAGCCATAATTATCAAAATACATGAAGTCGTATCAAACGCACTCCCATGTCTCAGTCACTGCCAACATCTTGACCAAACCAATCAGCTTCTGTTCATATACAAAGATGTGACCATATTGCATGAGGGCTCTAGGATATTTTTAGGGATGAAATATTTGATAAGACATTTGGGCATAATCCCTAAAAGTTCGAAGCTCATAAAATATTTTTGGAAAATTTCGAAAATGATCCAGCGCCAAGAAGAATCCAGATCCAGATCGGGGGAATCCAATCCCGCGATCTCCCTCGGGACCGCGGCTCATGCCCACCGCCAGCCCCCTGTCACTACCAGTCCTGTACCTGTCGAGGCATGTGAGCCGCCGGCAGCCCGGACAACACCTGCGCCCAACTCTGAGGGCTCGCTGGACGGTCGGCCGCCGGCTCAGCGGCGAGGGGACCCGTGGGCCCGCTCAGCGGCGAGGGGACCCGTGGGCCCGCACAGCGGCGAGGGGACCCGTGGGCCCGCTCAGTGGCGAGGAGCCCGATCCATGGACCCGCTCTGTGTTTGGTCGCCGGGCCCTGTGTATGCTCTGTCGGCGTAGAAACGGTCGGCATCGAGTTAGGGCCAAGCCTGAATGAATCTACCCATGACCTGGGTCACAAAAGAGTATTAGAGCTCACTGCTCACTGGCTGGTGACGCCAGCATATGACGTAGTCCTTTCAAGTCTAGCAAGAAAACGAAAGAGGAGGTATTGACGTTGCATATGTGGCCTTTGTGTCGACATAACCAAACTGCTTGATGTTTTGTAACGTGTCTATAACGTCTCACATGTCTCGGTGACCTCCAACAAGACAGTGTGAAATAGGCTGCCGGAGTTCGCGCACCTAGCTCAGAAACGAGAGAATTTGATGCCTTTAAGATAGCATAGACTTAAACTGCATGCAACTTCCTTGAAAATGGTTATCTCAGTTCAAAACCCAATACACATGTGGACCAAATAGCGTTCCGTTTTTGTGCACGGAGAACCGCAGAGACTCCGGACTCATGCGGACAAACGTGCGCAAAAGTATGCGGGCCACGATGCGACGAACGTGGTCCAGATCACGTTCATCCGTGCTCGCCCGTGGGAACGCCGGCCAGATGACATCACCTGGCGGTGGCCAGTACCCCTCGGGCGTCAGCGCCGGCCAGATGACGTCACCTGGCGGTGGCCAGTACCCCTCGGGCGTCAGCGCCGGCCAGATGACGTCACCTGGCGGTGGCCAGTACCCCTCGGACGTCAGCGCCGGCGCCCAAAGCACCAGATGACGTCACCTGGCGGTGGCCAGTACCCCTCGAGCGTCAGCGCCGGCTCCCAAGGCACCAAATGACGTCGCCTGGCAGTGGCCAGAACCCCCGGAGCGTCAGCGCCGGCGCCCAAGGCACCAAATGACGTCACCTGGCGGTGGCCAGTACCCCTTGGGAGTCAGCGCCGGCACCCAAGGCACCAAATGACGTCACCTGGCAGTGGCCAGTACCCCTCGGGCGTCAGCGCCGGCCAGATGACGCCACCTGGCAGTGGCCAGTACCCCCGGGGCGTCGCCGCCGGCGCCCAAGGCACCCCACTGGCTGCAGGTCAACACATGATGACCGGGCGGGACATATGCTCCCGCCCGCCGAAGAAACGACTGAGTGGTCCAAATTTGAGGGTATTGGTACAAGCATGATTACAAGGCTCCGTTATAGCTATTGGTATATCTTTAGAGAAGAAATATTGCTCTAGACACCAAACTATTCATCTTAAGCATGTATGCTTCCCAGTACATTATGGTGTAATTGCACCATGGGATGCTTTTATGACGTTGCGGTGCTGCGAACGCAGCCTGCAAAATTGCCACCGTGCGTATATTGAAACATTGGGTTAAGTACGCATGACCACCGGAAAACACACCACAGGCGTGGTGCATCCCATATAAAGCTACCGCTTACCCCAGTACGGGTGGATTACGGACTGCGCGCAGCAACGAAGTCATCCGCAGGTCACATCGGTGAAATAAGTCCATAAAATTATCGCTGGCTCTCAAAATGGAAAAGGACTTGGCTCGGGGCAGTAGTTTCGCAAAATTCATTGAGAGGAGGGGCTTATTAGCGAAAAATGACTCAGTCTAGCCCAGAAACACCAACAAGCACGTTCCTCTCCGGATTTGGGCCGCCTCTCTCCTCGAAGCTGTGGGGCAATTGGCAAATGGCGTGTCATTCCAGATAAGTGCTCTGATTTACGTACATTACAGGAGCGCAGCCAGACCTTTGACAACGGGTGCACGGGGGATAAGTGACTGGCTGAAACACACCAGCCGGCGTGCCTCCGACAGTGATCTGGCCTTGACGTTCATTACCTCGGCAGTCGTAGCACAACAAGGTGGCGTGCCTCCGACAGTGTTCTGGCGTTGACGTTCATTACCTCGGCAGTCGTAGCACAACAAGGTGGCGTGCCTCAGCCAGTGTTCTGGCATTGACGTTCATTTCCGTGACAGTCGTGGCACAGCAAGCAGGAGGCTACAGCGCAAATTTTCCTTTGCTAGCGATGTACTGTACTGTTTGCTGCGGGGCTCTCGTGATACAGTGACGTCACGGTCGACCGACTGACGAATGGACAGTATGTTTCAGTCCACTTAGTTTCAGCAGGCGAGCGTGCTAATCACCGCTGGCCGTGACGTCACACAGCGTGTTGCATCATACAATGGACAAGGTTAATTGGTTGCGGCCAATTCCGTCGTTAGCCGGCGCCAGATTTAGCAGTTTATTGACGTGGCTCGAGGCTGGGCGCCGAGACACGATGGTCTCAAGCAGGGCCCAGACAGCCCTGCGTTTTCCGCTGTTTTGCATCGTCTTAGATCTCCTCCGATTCCAAGCTTTTTGACATCGTCAAATGTTCGAGTTTGATGAGTTTCTCCACGGAGATATTTTGCCCTCCGCTGCATTTGTTTTAATATTTGTTTTCGCCTCCAGCAGGTTTTTGTTTGCTTCCAGAATTGTCTCGAAGTCTCGAATAATTGGATAAAGCTCTTTCGTTACGTTTCGCTTCGTCGCTAACATAACCATTTGCCTGTGGGTCAAGTCCCTATCCCTACGCTCCGTTATCAGGCTTACCATTTCCTCAGAATGAATCATAAGACCTCCCTGACTGGCGGCGAGCGCAGGTGGCGCCGGTCGGCCGGCGGGCCCATGTGACGCTCTTCACCGCCTGGTAGGCTGCTGTCTCGGACGTTCTTCTTCGTTCAACTCGTCCTGAGCTGCGCTGGGCGTTCGGTGCAGTCGAGCGGGCTCTTGCGCTTCCACAACCGCACTATGGCCGTCCACGACTGGTCCGGAGAGACCGGTGAACCGTCTGGTGTGCTGCTCAGACAGCCCTCCATGTGAGGTTTCGCGTAAGGCGGTCTTCTGATTTCCTTATCCTGTCCACTTCGCTTCATACTTGAAGTGGTGGGCCGAATACCAGCCCCGTTATTGACAAAGACTGGCAATCTGGTCAACGGCGCATGGCCGAGGACACCCTTGTACCGGGCAAGGCCAGTGGGTCAGGTCAAGAAGCACATTAACGGTTCAAGGAAAATAATCAAAATATTGACGTTGGTATTGCTACCTTTGCGATGTTACAGCATAAAGAAAGTATTGCGCAGGGGTGGTAAAACATGCCTACTTGGTGGATAAGATCATCGACAAAAATATGCATCTTCTACGAGGCTTGGTGCCAAAGAGGCTTTTGAAATACAATTTTGGTGACAGTCACGACAAAATAATACAGCGTACTCAGCAAAAGCTGACATGGGGTCTCCATACATACATATATGCCTCCATGGTAATACATTCCGTCACACAACACACGTTAAGCTTTCTGTTAAGACTCTTTACTGTACATTGGGGCGCCATGATGTCTTTTTTAGGTTTCATCGCAACCCGATGGCAAGAATATCGTATGATTTTTAGTTGCTTGCTCGACTCGGCGACAGATCTGCGATAAATGGAGATGCTTCCTATGGCCAGACCGGTCGGCCGATTCACTGTTATTACCAGCCGACTGTCAGGGTCCCAAACTTGACAAGGTAAAATACTGAACAAGATCTAAATATGCCCATTCATTTGGCCGCAAGGCCATGTTTCGATCATTGCGATGCGACTGATATGAAGTGGGCGGTGACTTTCAATGCAAGGCGACTTTGCAAGCAGCATCCGCATTGCAGTGTCAGAAGTATCCCCCTAGGGTTTGAGTTTTGGGCCTTGTTTACTTCCGATTCGGTTTCCTTTGCCGCGATTCGGTATTCTGCCCTCGGCAACGAGAGGCATTGACAGTTCAGGGCAAGTCGGCAAGATAATTCGAACGAGGTAGAAACTGGCCTGTGATTATCCAAACTGCCTTTTCAAGGCACAGAGAAGTTTTATAAACCAGGGGTATGCCTAGTTTTCTGTTCAGTTCAGAGCTCCAACCCTCCCCCATAATTTGTGGAGAAGTGTGCCGATCTGGGAGACATCCATAGGTTTCTGGTAGACGGCATAATGGTTCACATCTCCCCAGGCCATCTTCAAAGGACATGACCCTGCTTGAATTGCAACTATTTCATCGGTGTTTTTTTATCATTTAAACAATTATTCACAATTCAACCTTTTGCCATTATCAGACTTGGTTGCTGAAGTCAATATGATGTCCAGTGATGTGACCACTGCGAGGGCAGTGGGAAGTGTGGAATGAGGTGTAGCAAATGCAGGCAGTGAACACGGAGGGATGGGGGTACAGGCTCCACTGCTATCTTCCCTTCACCAGGAGTTGTACTTCAAAAAGCAGGCTTTTTGAGTTATTGGGGTCCAACTGTCTTATGAGTTTAGTGAAAGATTGACATATAGTTATTTTTTAGGACAGCTTTCGCTATTTGCAAACGCTGTCCTCATAGACGAATCTATAGTGGAAATCAATGTAGTTGCAGTCTGTCTGGTGGTGGCACAATGACGGGAGAGTCTATTACTTTACATGATTAGAGGAGAGGGGAAAGGTAGAAACCCATGGGTCATGATCTATAACTAAAGCTCAGAGAAGATCCGTTTTGTGACAAAGTTGGCTTTCTTCTCATATCCTTTTGGTAATCTTCCAGTTAGATGTGTTGTGTATGGGGGGGGGGGGGGGGGGAACCAGCGTTGAGCGGGGCCCAATCCAACACGAGAGTTGGGCAAGACCCCAGTAATGTATTTAAATTAACACTCTTGCATTATGCATGACAATTCTGGCAGTTTAAGTTATATTTCCATGCTAAGCAGGCATGCAAAGGACAATTTCGGCATGCTGATCCAATTTCTACCAATGTTTGGATGTTGGTAATGATGTGTCATTCTGCTGTAGCAGTTGATTTTTCATTATCTGGGATGCAGATTTTTACACCAGCATACACCAAATGAATAAAGGATGACAACCAACAATTTTAAGCCTTTACCCCCACTCGCCCGTTTTCATACCGCGGAGTAATAGGGGGCGATCACATACCGTTTGACGCTGAGAAAGGTGGATACTCGCAGACAAATCTAACAGTTAATTATCTTAAGCGAGATATCGCGACGCAATGAATCCTCATGTTGTTAACTGACCCCAGAAAATTTGGTTATTTTAGTCTTGCGTGTTCATATATACGGAACCATACAGCGTAGAGATCTTAAACATAACTAGACGCATTCCTTGTTTGATTATTATATATTTTAACTGCAAGTTATCGGCAAAATGGTATGCTGTTTTACGTTTTTTGAGCCTTTGTGTGCAATGCAGAGCTTTGTTAATGTAAAATTGTCAGCCCTCTGTTCGCAGTTCGTAAAATCGTCACTTGCCGCCCGCCGCCCCCGCCAGTCTTGGTTCGTTCTGCAGTGCTCGTAAAAACCCGTCGCTACTCGGAAACCAGAATGGCTCGGGAGAAGTTTTTGGTGTCAACACACGTGCAATGGATGCCCCAGAGGCTACCAAAGATTTAAGCGTGACTACACAATATGCAATACTGGTATCCTCGTAAAACCTTAGCGAGAGTGAGCGTCGCATGGTCTCCCTCCTCCCCGATGTGGGGTCAACAAGATTGTCTGAAAAGGCCAGATTAACAAGACTGAAAGGAACTGAACAGGCGGTAGTTTATGGAATGATTTATTTGCGGCATTACTATCACGCGGGAATAATTGTTCGGACTATCATCCTCGTCTGGCGTGCTGGTGTGCTGTTCGGACTATCATCCTCGTCTGGTGTGCTGGTGTGCTGTCCGGACTATCATCCTCGTCTGGTGTGCTGGTGTGCTGTTCGGACTATCATCCTCGTCTGGTGTGCTGGGGTGCTGTTCGGACTATCATCCTCATCTGGTGTGCTGGTGTGCACACAACGTTTCGGCCAGATATCTCTCCGTTAGCTCAGTCGTTCCAGGTTATATCAGTTAGTGGAGCAGTGGACTCGCAATCAGTAGTCCCTAGCTCGAATTCCAGAGATAAGAGGAGATCATTTTGATTTTGACGCGTGAATGGCCGAAAACCCGACATCGTTCAGCTCTTCTAAGGACTGCATAACGACGACGGTCGGAGAGTTAACTAGCCGAAACGTTGTGTACATACTAGCACACACGAAGACGAGGACGAAGGTCCGAACAAGTATTCCATCCGAGAAAGAACGACGCCACTCACCCATACGTGCATCACAGCATGCAGCAGGCCAAGCATGCCCAGAATGGACCAGATATAGAGAGAGAGAGAGAGAGAGAGAGAGAGAGAGAGAGAGAGAGAGAGAGAGAGAGAGAGAGAGAGAGAGAGAGAGAGAGAGAGAGAGAGAGAGAGAGAGAGAGAGAGAGAGAGAGAGAGAGAGAGAGAGAGAGAGAGAGAGAGAGAGAGAGAGAGAGAGAGAGAGAGAGAGAGAGAGAGAGAGAGAGAGAGAGAGAGAGAGAGAGAGAGAGAGAGAGAGAGAGAGAGAGAGAGAGAGAGAGAGAGAGAGAGAGAGAGAGAGAGAGAGAGAGAGAGAGAGAGAGAGAGAGAGAGAGAGAGAGAGAGAGAGAGAGAGAGAGAGAGAGAGAGAGAGAGAGAGAGAGAGAGAGAGAGAGAGAGAGGAGAGAGAGAGAAGAGAGAGAGAGAGAGAGAGAGAGAGAGAGAGAGAGAGAGAGAGAGAGAGAGAGAGAGCAGAGAGAGAGAGAGAGAGAGAGAGAGAGAGAGAGAGGAGAGAGAGAGAGAGAGAGAGAGAGAGAGAGAAGAGAGAGAGAGAGAGAGAGAGAGGAGAGAGAGGAGAGAGAGAGAGAGACCATATATACCATAGGCGTTCCAGCTGCTAGCTTTTCAAAGGGGTCAAATTTGGGCAACCGCAGTGGATGTAAACTCTACATCGACTGAACAACGTAGGCAAAACTGTTGCATCATGTTGAAGTTACCCTATCAGCCAAATACTGGTCGACACGCTGGACGCCATTGTAATGGACAAACAATGCTGGACACGAATGTCGTCGACCGAGAAGCGGTCATCATTGTGAAATCCCACCGTCGAATGCTGGCCACGGTGCCCCAAACCTAAACATCTCGAATAGGGAAAATTGTGCGGGTTGATGGATGAAGGTAGCCCAGTTTACTTTAGCCAGTATGCTCCCAAATATGTGTGTCTTGTGTCACTCCCGTCACAATCACCGGAAACATGAATAATGATCACTTCCTTCTTTCCCTTATAAAGACATTTCTAAAATTGTTTAAAAGGCCGGGCATTTTCATCGCCAGGCACCAATCTGTGTTAGGTACTATAGCATCCGCCGGTTTCAGACAACTGGAGCGCAGTTTTCCGATGAAAACTAAGAAATAACCGAAATTTAAGGTCCTCAGGTGAACCAAAGTTGCTGTTCAAATTGTAAAAAGTATATGTGGAAGGCCTTGGCATGGGCTCATTTGATACATTTTCTGGTAGGTCGCACCGCATCGGACTGGATTGGATTGAACAATCCAGGAAAAACGGATTAGGATGCGGACTAGATTTAAATCCGGGTCCAAATCCGGATCCTGATTCGGAGCCGGATTTGGAGCTGGACTAGACTGTACAGGCTCCTCAAAATTCAATCCGTGAAGTATTACAATTAAAACCCTGTATTGTAAATGTGACAATGATGAGCCGCATTACTTTGAATGCAGTTTTGTTGTTTCCTAATTTTCATTGTGACGCGTCGTCAATACTATCACTGATGGCATTTCGTAACTGATTGATGGTAACAGTGATGGTCAGTATCGACGACGCGCTTTTGACAATATTTTTCAGTGCCATTGTTGCTGTTCTCGTACGAATTGTCTTATTTATTGTCATATATGTAATTATGGATGAGTTGTAATTTTGCTCCCCGCCGGCAGGGTGACCCAGCTGGGTCGGCTCGATTCACCGTCACTGGCCCTGGCCGAAACGGAGCGCGTCACCAGCCCGGCCTCGGTCGAAGTGGCGCCCTCCTCGCTGGCACCGCCCAACGTCAACTTCATCAGCACGGCCGAGTTCTCCGCCATCCACCCCTACCACTTCATCTTCGATAAGTAAGCGACACCCCCAGCAATCCATTCCTACCGTTTCATTTTCGACAAGTAAGTAACACTCTCAGCCATCCACCTCCACCACGTCATCTTAAACAAGTTAGCAGCATCATCAGTCTTCCAGTCATATCACTTTATTTTCGGCAAGTAAGCGACGCTCAAAGCCATTCACTTCTGCCAATTTCATTTCGACAAATAGACAACCGCATCAACCGCCATTTCCTCTGACGTCATATTCCACAAGTTACCCATATTCCCAAGCCATTCAGTATCTATTCAGTCCAGTACCGAAGTCCATTTTTGACAACTACGCGACGCCTGCCGTCACCCTTGTTAGGCTGTTCGCCAAGATAGATAGGCCAAGTCCCAGGAGTTGAAATTGTAGACGCGAAAGTCGAAAATGACGTCATTATGGTATGACATCGAATCGGGCAGCTGTAGGTCATGCGTTAAGGGGTTATGTGGTCATGGAATGCAACAAAAAATAGCTCAGCTTACGCGTGTTAACTAATAAGCAGCATTTCTTTAAAAAATGAGCTATTGACGCGCCACCCGTTTTTAAGAACTAGAAAGTGTTCGAGGTTTAGAAATTAACCAGGGTCATCCGCACCCTCAGGACCCTTTATGCACAACCTGCGGACTAAAAATGTCTACAGGTTGACATTAACGTTGTGGATTCGATTTGTAGTAACATCTTTCATCATAAAAATGTTACCTAAATAAGTCCTTTGACAGAGCTGTAATGAAGTAGTTCAATATATTCTATGGAAGCCCACATTCGTCAACTAATCTCGCCGAGAGCAAGGGAAAATGAGAAGGTCCAACGAATCTATGTAGACTGTTTCACGGGCTTGTTGACGCCAACTACTTCTTGGCTGCCTAGCTGACGAGCAGCAACGTCTTGCGTAGATCTCATCTTGTGTTGATTAAGCGTTGGATTGAGTCTACCTGCATTCACCCGTACTAATTCATATTCAGTGAGTGAAAGATGTCACCGTCCATACACCTTTACCACTTCGTCTCCGTCGAGATGCGTCATACGTTCCAGCAGAATGGATCATTTCCACAAATAGTAAGATTGCACAAAATTGTATGTGTCGAGAATGTCATTGCATTTTTGTACCAATGTTGAATTCCGACAGCTGTATATTGTGTTCATTTACCTGGTTGGTTGAAGTGCACCTGCGGAAACGAAAGCTGTTTTTCCATGTGACTTTAGCTGCAGCAAATTCAACTCACAATGAACGTGTCACGTTAAAAACGCCGCCTTCTTCGCAATGAACGCTTTATGAGACATGTCTCGCGCACCCACTTCACCTACTTGTTATGCTTGCTTATATTGTCGTTTCCACGGGGTTCAAGCTTCAGCACTCCATAAGCTCTAGGAAGGACGGGCAATGGAACACGACTAATGCTGCCAGGTGTGGTCGCAGTTAAACGATGCTGCCAATTCGAGTTTTTCTTTTTTGCCATAAGACAGCTGATGGCATTCGACATTGTGTGTATTTAATACGTTGCCATCAAGCCGAAGGGCTCCGAGTGAATTTTCTACTGGCACGAGCACATGGAAACCAGCACGATAGAAAGGAAAACATTCTAGCTTGCTCGGGAAAGTGGGTGAGTCATGCACCTCCTCAGCCTACCTGGTTCGGGGCTAATACACTCACGAGCAATTCCGTATGATGTGCTCACGCCAAACTCCGGTCATTTTGCATGCTGCACTAAGGTGAGAAACTAGGTCACTGCAGCCCGATGGGAGCGGATGAAAGCCCAGCACAAAAACGCCTCAAGGCACACGGAGTTCAAGCCCGTCCTTTGTCCGCTGCCCCGCCCTGCAGCTTTCGTGCCCGCGGCGGGCCAGCGGGTCGTCACCTCCAGGTCCGAGTCGCCGTACTCGATCGGGCAGCGCGTCGACGCAATCCGGCCGACGACAATTCGATAAAGGTCGCCGGCGGCGGCCGACCCTCCGACCGGGCGGCAAAGGATGGCGCCTCGCGGCACCACGGACGCCGCCGTTATGAAATGGCTGCTGCCGTCAGCTGCCGGCGTCAGCTGCCGGCGTCGGACAGCGGCCAGCGCCGCTTGGCGCGTGAACGACGCCTCGCATGGGGAGCAGCGACGGCGCCAGGCGCGCAGAACCCCGGCCGCCTACCGAGCGGAGTCTGGTCCATTGGAAAGACGGCGGGCCGGTGGAAAAGTGCTATGGAAGTGCTGCCATAAATTTGAAAACAAGGCATGACAATACAATTTTAGCGTGGATGGAACTCCTGGTTCATTTCAGTGAGTGGTACACCCACGAACATGCTTTCGGACCTTTTCATGCGACCTGAAGGCTACGTTGAAGTTCGGTCTGTGTGCACGCAAAATTTCTCATATGGATGGGCATAGGCGAAGCTAGTAAGGGGTTCTAGGTAACCGGTATGTAAAAAGTGGTCTATTTTGTTTTGACAGCATCGATGGTTCCTGATTTAAAGTAAGACTATCAGCGTCATTAGTTTTCACGGAGTTCCAGACTCGCTGTTTTCGGTAACATGGATCTCTCTCTCTCTCTCTCTCTCTCTCTCTCTCGCTCTCCCTCTGCGTTGGAGTGCCTTATCTGATCCTCTTTCGCAGTTCTCGAGTGCCCTGGTCTACTGTCTTCGGCTGCGATCAGCGGCTCGACCAAACCCCGTTCGCTGTTGTCAGATGTCGATTGCGCCCTCGTCGCCGCTGCTGGCAGGCACCTGAGCCTGAAGCAGCACGGGTGCCGCTTCTGGCAGGAATCTGAGCTTGAAACAGCGCGGGTGCCGCTGCTGACAGGAACCTGAGCGTGAAACAGTACGGGTTCGGCATCGGCGTGTTGTGCCCGAGCGTCCGATCGTTCCCGGCTGTGAACGACTTGATGGACCTCGTCTGGCCGTACACCACGCTCAGCTACGAGAACGTCGAACGCTTCAAGAACCTGGTGTTCCAGTTCGCCGTCACCAACGGCACCAAAAAGACTGAGGGCACCGTTCTGCGAGGTCAGAGTTGTGGGAGTGGGGTGGGTGGGAAGGGTAGACGGTGTATGGAGGGGAGAAGATGGCTGGAAGGGGAGCGGGACAGCAGATCAATACGATGATGTGGTGTGGTGTATGGCCAGATATGAGATGGTGACGAACATACAGTTGTGACGTCACGGATATGCATTGTAAGACTATAGTTTGAGTGAATGTAATTGTTTTACAGTGAGAGAACGGTAGGCGTTGAGGGAAACAGGCATAAATCACGAGAAAGATGCCTCCGCATTTCGAGTATGCGACCCTGTGTTTTATTGTGCAAGTTTTCCAGCTTAGAAAACGTCCTTAGACATGAAGCTTGCTTTATTAAATATTGCTATAATCTTCAACGAAGCCCATATATCGTGTTAACCGGCTTGAACTGATCATTACTGCACCGTTCATGTGCTTTCCTAAATGGCTCATTGACGGCAACATTTGTGGTAGAATATCGTTTTGAGGATCACCTGAGGATAGCTCGGCGCTAAAATTTCCAATTCCTCACGATCATCTGAGAGCAGCCCGCGTTAGAGGGTTCAACACCACGCGATAACTTTAGGGTGGCCTGGTACTTAAGGTTTCAACTCCTGGCGATCAGCTGGGGCGGGGGGGGGAAGCCTTCACAAAAATATGACTCCTCTGAATCAGCTAAGGCTAGACGCTGGCGGTAGCTAGCTCTAGCTTCGTTCCGATGCGCTATGGACGTCCAGGGCGATGAATGTACCCAGAGCTTCCAGCAGGTAAGTAGAGCTTCCATAACTTTAAGCTGCCTCGCACATGTCAACGTTACTGAAATTCGGCACATAGACTGGGTGTCTGTGATACACGCAAGGAAATTGACAGCTATCTTCATCCGTACCCAATGGTTTTAAAACGTAATGCTTTTATGTGTCAAACGTAGTCATGCCCTTCGATCATAGCGGTTTATTGCGGCATGTTTGGCTGACTCCGACTAACATAAAGTATTTAGAGCAAAAGTATGAGAATGTGCAGTTCCATAGAACTATAGTCTGTCCCCAGGCGAGCTGGTATTCCTGGTGAATGATCTGGTGCTCTTCTTGGGGAACCCGATGGTTAACAGTCTAAAGGAGCTGGCCGACCGTTCACTGAAGATCTCCGACATCCCGCGCTCCGACTCAACTCGAGAACTGATCCTGCTGAAGCATCAGCGGAGTACAGAGTTTGACCTCATGTAAGCGAGCTGACTGTAACTCTGCCTTCCCAGCGGGACAGGACCGTGCAGGGGTTGACGTTGACTCTGCCCACCCAGCAGGACAGGACCGTGCAGGGGTTGACGTTGACTCTGTCCACCCAGCAGGACAGGACCGCGCGGGGTTGACCTTGACCCTGCCCACCCAGCAGGACAGGACCGTGCAGGGGTTGACGTTGACTCTGTCCACCCAGCAGGACAGGACCGCGCGGGGTTGACCTTGACTCTGCCCATCAACAGGACAGGCCTTTGCCTGGGGGCACTGAACGATATGTGTCCTCGCAAGAGGGACACACGACATTCGTTTACTGTTGTCGATACAGCTGGTGTGTGTTTCGCATGCTTGGGTTCGATGTAGATTGCCCCCAACGTAAAGTGTGTACAGTTTGCACGAAGCAATCTATGTGTTTTTCGATATGACATGATCAGCCCATCAAGCGACCCCGATGATTGAAGCAGTTCATTTTCTAAGCTTGGGAGGCGAGTGTTTCGGGAAACTCGTACCTCGTTGGAGCTTGAAGATCGGGTCATTAATTATCGGTCTCTTTGCTTATTCTTCGTCCGGCAGGCGGCCCAGCCGGTTCTATGCCTTACTTGCGTCATCGCTCTCAGCAGGTGCTGATTTGGCAAACGTCCAATGCTTCTTCGAAATGACCCTGAAGTAAAAGAGGCTGAAATAAGGATGTCTGGTTTATCTCGCAGCGATGTGATGATTATCCGCTAGTAGTTGCATGTCATGCTCAACATGGGAACAGGGCGATTTCCACATGTTTTGCCAAAAACTTAGGCCATACCAAACCATGACAATGGACTTAAATTAGTAGGCTTTTCCATAGAAATATATGTCCAATATCCAAGGTTCTATAGAAACGCTAATCAAACTGCTTGGGCATTTACAACATTAGACGGACCGCATACGAAATGTTTGCCTTCTGTAGTGTCTTCACTTATAGAACCGTGCTATGTTGTTGTGCCAAGCACGGATAATATCAACCAAAATGATCACATCCAATACCATTCTTGATTTGCTATCTGCACAGCAGGGACCACTATATACGAGCATGAAAAAGACGTAATCGACGCCGCAAACACCGAATTTGAGTCCAGCTGTATGTGGAAATTATATCAGCTCAGGCGCCGTATTGATTTGCCTCTGGGTGGAGACACCTCACTCACCTCTGGCTAGGATCTGCCAGATTTAATCTGAGTCTTCATCGTTTAAAGGAGCATGACGCTCACACTTCCGTTTTAATCACAGTTTCAATTGGCTTCAGCTTCCAGCGCTGTTCTAATTAGCCTCAGATCTAGTACGCAATTGGCGTAGTATTTAGTGGGCAATTGGCGTAGTATTCACCCTCACCATTGAATTGGAGTTCAGGTCCTGTTTTTATGAGCTTTTGGTTCAGAACCGCCGTTTAGGCAATCTTCAGCATTCAATACTGTTTGATACCTGGCTTAAGCGCATGTTCTATAAGTGTCTGGCATTCAACGCTGTTTGATACCTAGCTTAAGTGCATGTTCTATAAGCGTCTGGCGTTCAACACTGCTCGACACCTAGCTTAAGTGCATGTTCTGTAAGCGCCTGGCATTCAACGCAGCTCGATACACAGCTTATGTGCATATTCCATAAGCGTCCAAACCATTTCCAGAAGCCTCAAATCATTTATTCACGTCGTGGCGGTGGCGTTTCTTCTGGTCTGAGTGATATCCGAGCTGCGCCACGTTATCTGTTTACACTGCTCTCACATTCGGCACAGGTCGGCGCATTCTGTTGCTGCATTCGTGGTCCGTCAAATTCCTTTGGGATTCTGTTCCTGACTGACTTTCTGTGGAGCCTGTTCTGTCCTGGACGACTGAACCCGCACCAGGCCTGTTCTGTTGTCGGTGACGAACATATGCTCAGTCGTAAGTGGCCAGCCGCTACTGAACCCTGTCAAACATTTTCACTACCGCCGCTCAAGACCATGACTCGGGCTCTCCGTATCTTCAATGCAGTCTTCGCCGACTCTGCCTCTGAATCTTTCGACGAATATCACCACAAATCGGTCACTAACTTTCGCTCTGCAGCCGACAACACTCGTGACTTTGTCGCTGATGGAGGCTCTACGTCACATTCGGCCGTGGCTGACTCTGGCTCTGATTCCAACTGAAGGCAGCGGCTGGAGGCGACAACGGCCGAGCTGAAGCGGACGGCCGCCGCGCTGGAGCGGGAGAAGGAGAAGACGGACCGGCTGCTGCACAGCATGCTGCCGCCCGAGGTGGCGCACAAGCTGAAGGGCGGCAGTCACGTGCAGGAGGCGTTCGAGAGCGCCACAAGTGAGCCGAGAGCGGCGCCGGCGCCGCCTGTCTGACACCAGGCTCGCTTTCAGACGGCTCACTGGCAGCTGCCAGTCTCCAGTGGACCGTCCTGGGGACCATCCGGCCGTCCCACAGCTGTGGCGCACACGGAACCCGGCATTTGGCAGGGCTCTGTTCACATGCCTACCTCAACAGCAATACTGCGCTTTTCGTGATGGTTATGCTGACCTCAAGGGTGGAAGTTTTGTTTGTGGGCGTTGGGCAGCTCCGCGAGTGTCGGACATGTTCGTAGGATGACTGAGCAGATGACAACGGGAAGGAATAGTCAGTCTTTTCTGCTAATGCTGCATAAAGACGTGGAGAGCTGCATAAAAGCATTGAAATTTGTCTACCCCATCCTGTCATTAAGTTTTAGCATATATATATATATAAATAAATATATATATATATATATATATATATACATACGTGCGTGTGCGTGTGTGCGTGTGTGTGTGTCTGTGCGTGTTTGCGTGCGTGCGTGCTAGCATTAGAGTATAACGGATGAGATATTATGCTAGGAGTTAGGTTCTTTAGCGTCTAGAACACCGTACTTTTATGTTATCGTCCTCTACTCTGCGAGTGGCGTGCACAAAAGTGCAAGAAGCGCCATCAAAAACGTTTGCAAACTTTTTTATAAGACAAACCTTCTGTTTTCTGGCTGTATTTGGGTCCCAGTCGATATCCATGGCAATGCAGATTCGGAGAGTGATTTCCCTTCCACGTTGTAGTAGCTTACCAATCACCCACCGCGTTCTTTGTTCCGTAAAAGTGACCTTTGGTAACAACTTTGTGACCGTTGGTGGCAGTAATGAGAGACTGTAATTTGCATTATTAATAAAACCCTTTTCCCTCAAATAAAGCTCAACAGTCCATTTGATGTGAATGCGTATTCATAAGGCACCGAAGCTTGAAGGACCAGTCCGCTAGAAGACTTTATTAGCAACTTGATGCACTTAACATGCATTTTCCGTGGAAAAGTGAATCAAGATAAAAGTGTTTTCCTTGCGGCGCGTTTTTTGCTGGCATTGTCGTCATTTTCTGCGGATGAACTCTTGCGTCAGCCATGATTTAGCCTAATTAACAGCAGTGTGCTGCCGCGGGACCGAAAAACAGGCACAAGATGTCGAAGAACGCAGGCGGCGTGCCGGAGATGGAAGGATAAGTCAGTTAAGGAGAGCGGGAGCGAGTAAAGGGACAGATGATCCAGTTGCCGAAAAGCACAGCAAGAATGCTGGGGACAAAAATTATAAGCTGCATTTATGCCATCACTACACAGCCTCGATAATCGCCTTTAAAGTTTTGGCATTATGCTTGTGATGAACACGGGACAGGCGGTCTATATCTTATTCGACACCCAGACATTGGGACGGTTTATTACACGATGAGCATCTTTGCAGGCCCCTAATTCGTTTGTTTTTTTGGCCTGGTGTGATAAGTCCTATCTGATGACTTCCGAACAAAAGTTCAAACAATTTTTAGGACTTGGCTCGCTTGGCAGCATTAACCTTATCCCAAAGGCTACGTTCTGGATTGGTGAGCCAGCAACCAAAATTAAAAAAAATAAGCTTATTGGCCCGTCACGATGTTTATAATCTACGTGTTCTTCCTTTTGCCCCCGGCAAATGGCTTTTTTCCGGCAAAAAACTCCTTGTCTCCGCCAAATTTCACCGTGTTGAGAGTTGTTTTTATCTCCAATCACAGACAGAGGGCAGAGACAGAGAACAATTTACAGATAGATAAGGGATCTGAGTGTGCAAGCATTTTAGGAAAATGCTTTCTTTTAGGTGGGCACGTGAACCGAATTCACCGTCTTTTGTACGGTTTCATTTATTTTACTTGCGATCGCAACGGTCTTTGAAGTTGAGCTGCTCAGAATGAAATCCCAAGAATCTTCACAAATATGACGAACGCCTATAGATCAAAACAATCCCCCCCATCTCAGTTGCTCTTGTTTACGCCACTCATAGTTGAGAGGGTACAATGTGATATCCTTTCGACGTTTAAGAGCACCTGTGTGCTCATTTTCCGTTTTCTATTTTGCTTATGTTTCTAGCTATGCACAGACGCCTCACCACAGTTGTAGGTTCCCCGCAATCTCTGCCTGAAGCGTATTGAAGACCCAGTCGGATGTGAGCTGCTGGCCGAACAAAGTTTTCACTGGGCAGGATGTCGTGGTTTATGAGGGGGATTTGGCGGTTGGTGGCGAGGATTTTTGCTGCAAGTTAACATGTTAAAATATGCCCTGCTTCCAATCACACTGTCATGCCGCTGGCTGAGTGGCGCTGCTGGCTTCGGGAGGCGTGCAGTGACTGCCGCAGTCACAGAGGTCTGACAGCTGACGCGCCTGATCCGGCTCCGCAGCTTGCTCTCCGACAGGTTCTTAGAACTGTCAAAGATCGACGTCTCTCTCCAGATGGATTTTGTGCAGATGATTCCAACATTACTGATCCAAAAGTCCGAACGTCTATGCGGGAGTTGGTACACAGGTTTAGGCCAGAAGTTCGCAGGCCAGAGCACATGCTCCGCAGCAGACTTCTGCTCGGTGGCTCTCAGTCAAGATTGAAAGAAGAGAGAGAGAGAAGAGAGAGAGAGAGAAGAGAGAGAGTGAGAGAGAGAGAGCGAGAGAGCAGAGAGAGAGAGAATCTGAGAGAGATCCGAGATACGAGAGAGGAAGAGAGAAGAGAGAAGATAAGAGCATTGTAGAGAGAGATAGAGAGAGAGAGAAGAGATGAGAGAAGAGGAGCAAGAGAAGAGAGAACGAGAAAGGGTGAGGGAGAGAAAGAGAGCGAGAGACAGAGAGAGGGAGAGAGAAACCCCTGCAAACACACAAGAAACGCATACAAACGCATACAGACAGACACACATCAATTTTTCCAGCCAGTTTGACACCACGGAAAGGTAAAAACATCGAATCACCCTAATGCCATTGGGTGACTTAAAAGGTCCAAAGTGATGACACGACCTAAGCTGTTTTTTAAGTCAGGCATTTTTTCTCTGCTGAGGATGTCTTCAAGAACTTGTTGACGGTGTTTGTTTGGACATGATTTGAGAATCAGCGTGTTTTCTGTCAGGTCAGAGCGTAGCAGTTTTTGGTTTGGATTTCGCACATTGTTGGTCCGGCGCTCCCACCTGCAGGTACAAATTCATGCGTCGTAATAGGGATGTTGTGACCATTCCAATGTAAGTTGTGTCGCGGAGCCGGCAGTCTCCGTAGGGCATATGAGTTCATTCACTACATTGGTGCACTTTATTTGGTTTCGGTCCGCTGTCAGGTTAGACCAAAACTAATGTATTTTGTACAAGGACGGCCCTAATCCACGTGTTGATGGAAATATCTGATGCGGTCCAATCCGGTCTGCGGATGGATCCACAATCCGTGGATTGATCCAGTCCGTGACGTGTTGTATGCCGCGGCCCGTGGATTGATCCACAATCCGTGGATTGATCCAGTCCGTGACGTGTTGTATGCTGCGGACTCTGCAGCCCGACACTCCAGCGCGTCAGCAGCAGGAGCCGCCGCGGAAGCCCACCAGAGCCGGCGCGCGAGCGGTTGGTCGGCTTCTTCCACGGCTCCGCGCTGCGTTTGAGCACATCCCCTCAGGCTTATAGGCTGCTGGAATGTGTAATTTGAGATGGGACCTATGTGGCGAATTTTTGCGTCGACTCAGACCACGACGGCTGCCGACACGTCGCAGCCATACGACGCCCAGCTTCATCGGTACAGCCGCGTGCGATGTTAAGTCTCTATGCCTGCAGTCCTCGTGCTACGAATGGGCGGAAGCGCTGTTGCCGTTGGCAGAACGTCCGTGAATTCCCAGATTCTCCGTGACTTTCCGGGTTTTGCAATTATCAGCATTCGCACTGACGCGCGGACATCGGCGCGTTTGAAAGTTTGAAAGTAATCATACGCAAACATGTCATTGCTCTCCAGCGGTATAAGATTAATCAATGCCTCCAAACGGTTCCACATTGACCACCTGCATGGCTTCCCTTTTGGTATGTGAGCCAATTAAAATATATGCCCAGGCAATGATAACATTAACACGCGCCCGGGTGGCCGGCTAGATACCCTTCGCTCGGGTGGGCGGTCAGTTTGACCCCTCTGAGATCTCGGGAACTAAGAAAGCCAGAGACACCAAATTTGCAGGGTTTCTTGACTTGTACGTGAACTCATTTAAGTCAACGTTTGAGCTTCCTAGGTCATGACCTTTAGGTCAAATAAGGTCAAACAAGGTAAAATTCTAGGTTGGTCACCAAAGTGCGCCCAGAACCTAGGAAACTGTTTCCAAGCAAAATGTCAAAAGCCCATTTGAGATCAGTGACCTTGTTTGACGTTTTGAAGATGATGGTAACCAAAATAATACGAGACTGCTCTGAGTTTTGCATTTGAATAAGCGACAAAGATTACGCTAGGCAGTATGTTCATAAAACAAAATGTCGACCAGGGTCATCTCAGGTCAATGACCTTTTATGACCTCTAAGAAGTCAATGAAATATGTGTAATGCGGCTCCTGCCGTCAATTAATTCGAAATGAGCACCACAAACTGTCCCATACAGCAAGCCCTATAGTAATAAATCAGGCTGGTTGTGACCTTGGCCTGACCTTCATACCTGACCATAGGTCAAGGTAATTTGCTCATTCAATGTTTGCAGTGCCTAAGAAAGTATCTCAGAGATGTATGGCTTCGTCAAACACTCCGTTACTGTGTCAGATTGGAAGATTCCCTAGAAATTGCCTTCGCTGAAACCATGGTCCGACTTTGACCTGCCATATTTCAGCGACCATGCAAGGTACATCTCAATTTTTGATGTTAAGCGATCTGCTATTCAATTTTCTACAGATAGGCAAAATTTAGCGCGGCTGTGCTGCGCCGTTCAGAAACCATTCTGGAAAAACCTTTGGGGCGGGGGGGGGGGCAATTTGACTCCCCACCCGATCCCGTGTTAAGCAATCCGTTCCATTTCAGCATTTGGCTTGACCCAAACTGGTCAAAAGGGCTGTGTTTAGTTCCAGAATGACGCAATCTACGACCATAATTGCCTGGTAGCTTTATTTTTCACATCATTACATGCCTCACGGTCTTCTTAGATACAAGCGAACAGCGCCGCCCAAATGGTAGACCAGACGAGAGGCGAGACGTGTGATGCGGTCATCAGTGCAACCGGTTAGCAGCCAGTGCACTTTTGCACAGCTTCTCTCGTTTTCGTTTTAATGCAGGCTATATCTTAATATGCCATCTGGGGAAGGTAATGCCTCCCAAGCCGCTCAAAGTCTCTCTCCAGTCGCAGGTTTATCGCCCTCCTTTAGGGCGTTGCCAATCCGCATGTGTAACTTCAGGAAGCTGGGAATGTTCGAAGTGGTCTCCCGAATGGTATGGATTAGTCGAGTTGATCAATTTGTATTCACCAGGAGAAAAAACCGCGTGGTTTACACGCAATAATATCGTTCACATCTGTCCAAAGTGTCTCATATATAACGAATGAAACCTATGGGCTTTCATTCACCTCTCCTTCCTTTGGTCAACGCGCTTACTTCCGTTGGGTAAGTGTTCTGAAATATGCCCTGTTCACTTTTGCAATCAACAGGTCTCCTTAATGTCCCCCTATCACTGCGATGAATTACCGACTACGCCTTTCACTGTAACCAAGTCCTCTATCACGAGTCTATGGCACGTGGTAAAAGCCCATTTGGTGGGCTACTCAGATTCTTCTCCAGGAGACTCTCATCCCTCCCCACCATCTGAAGGCGATGTGAGGATAGGCCTGCATGTCGGCCCATTACATGGAGGTCCGATCAGAGCGCCCTGCTGAGTGCCTGCGCCGAAGTGGTCCCAGTGCGTGTTCGGAGCAGCTGTTTCGATGACCTGCTGCTGCCTGCGGGGATCTGCTGACCTGTGGTTCTGTGTCGTTACAGTTTTGTTCAGCGACATCGTGACATTCACGGTGATAGCCTCCAAGTGCGAGCCCCATCAGATTGTGATGCTGCTCAACGAAATGTACACGCGGTTCGATGCGGCCACCGAGAGCAACTGCGTGTACAAGGTGGGCTGAGGGACGGAAAAGGGGGGAGGGGGGGGGGGGGAGGCAGGGTTCGCGTCCAGTGTGGCATTGTAAGAGACACGGCCAGCGGCAGTATTCAAAGGATCTAAGGCATAAGTACATCAGGCTAAAAAAGAGCCACTCGGGCCCATCGAGGCTGGCCTACCCCAGGTGCCGCACCCATCCTTGACACTAATCTTACCATCTGACCCACCTGAAGTTAGAATGAGGCATTCAGATCGATAGAACTTGTCCAAAAGATTTCAGACATTGCTAGAGAGGGACTTTCTACAGCTTCGGTAGGCAGTCCAATCCAATGATTCAGAACTCTTTGACTAAATGAAATCTGCCCCTTCATGATTCTTCTCCTTCCTTCTGCTAAGTGAAACTAATTTCCTCAAAGTCTCGGCCTAATTTCCAGCGCTCCTTGTAAATTTACCTTGTCTTCAATCTTGAGTACCTCTATTAGATCCTTTCTAAGTCTACGTTATTTCAGTGAACACAAATCTAAGTCCTGAGCCTATCGTTGCATTCTAAGTTGCCAACGTCATTTTTCATGCTGACTGCTTTTCGCTGTGCTCGCTCCAGCCTATCTGCATCCTTTAGCAGCATGAGGACCAAACCTGTGCTTAATACTTTGGGTTTGATCGGACATGAGCTAAATTCAACATTTTGAAATAATTCCTTCTCTTGTAATGAACGTTCCTGTTAATAAGTCTCAGCATCCGAAGCGCCCCGCTCCTAGCAGCCACACATTGCTTTTCAGCCTTTAAATCCTTAGAAATTATAAACCCTAAATAATTTGCTTTCTCTGTCTGGACGAGCTGCTAGCCTCCCATTTTATAGCTGTCCCTCAATACCGGAATTACCCAAATGCACCACCCCACACTTAACATAGTTAAATGGCATCCCCCACAGGGAAGCCCAGCTCACCGATTTGCCTAAGTCAAGTTTCACATCGCCAATATTTTTCAAAACCCCTTCAATTCAACATCGTCAGTAAATTGAAACGCCTTTTTCTAATCCTATCTCAATATTATTGACACAAATAATAAAGAGCAAAGGGCCCAACACCAGTCCCTGTGGCATCCCACTCTCTACTAGCTCCCACTGAGATTTAGCACCTTTGAGCACCACTCTTTGCTTCCTGTCTTGCAGCCAAACCCCTACCCAGCCAATCATTTTTCTATCAATGCCATACGATTTTAAGTGATATAAGACACACTGGTGTAGCATCTTATGAAACACCATACTAAAATCTAGATAAATAGCACCTAAGCTATCGCCTTTATCTACCTGACTAGTAGCATGCTCTAAGAACTCCAAGAAATTTGCCAAACAGGACCTAACAGAAAGAAAATGACGCTGACAACTATGCATTAATTGATGCCTTTCTAAGTGTCACTCAACGCTGGCCTTTATGGATACCTGAGATTTTACATCCCGGTGAGAAAAGACTGACAAGCCTGTAGTTGCTGACACTTTTTAATCCTTTCTTCAATATCAGTACCGCATTGGCGTTGCGCCAGCCCTCGGATACTTGTCAAAACTCAATGACTAATAAGTATTTGCATGATTGGATAAGCCAAAGCACTACCGCATTCACTGAACATTCTATCGCATATTTGCTCAGGTCCGGCCGCGTTACTTAAGTGACTGGGCTTAACGGACGAGCGAGATTTATGCGGCTACCGAGAACAAATGAGTGTGCAAAGAAGGCTGGGGTGGGGGAGGGGGGATGGGAGGGCGTGCAGTGTGTCACTGTGGGATACGCGGTGAGCAGTGTTATTTGCAGCAATACCAGATCTCGAAAATAGGCGCTGAGGCCAAAATTTGAGGATGTTGACAAAATTTGGCGTGTCAGAACGTTTGTAAGCAGCATTGTAAGGCACAAAGCTTCAAGACAAATCTTATAAAAGGAAGTGCATGTAGCCACCTCCACGGCTGTCCCACTGCGTTACCCACTGAGTCTGTGGACTCCTAAGCAGGTCTGGTTCTCTTGAACAAATGCTGCACAACGCTGATATAGATTGTTCGCACATCATCTGCACGTCTACCAGGGTGGAATAACACGAAGATGAATACTAACACAAAAGTGAACATGCTATTTGTATTGGTGTAAGGCATTTTTATTCTTCCATTCTAAACGCAAATCCACGTGCTTTGTTTTTCAGCATTCTTCGCATTAGCGATACGCTTTGAAATGAAGCGTTCTGGAATTAGTATTCAAAATGTTGAGCACAGATTGTGACTCATTTTCCAAGTAAACTGGTTTCAAATGTCATGTCTTGCCATTGCCACTGGGGATTAACAACACACTCGGCTGCGAGGCGTTATGGGGTCGCCTGCCTCTCACTCCAGCAGGAATGGCGGGTACTGCGGGGAATCGAACCCGGTACCTCTGGTTTCCCAGACGCGACCTTTAAATAGCATCAAAGTCCAGTGTCCCAGAATGGCCAACTTTGGGTGTAAGGCAACACCCTATGAGGAGGAATATTTCACTCCTTTTCCCCATATTGTATGTGAATTTTTCACTCCTGCCTGACATTGTCTAATCGCACATGCCAACCCGCCTATTTCCCTTTCTGAGGTTTCCAGATGTCATCCAAAACCGAGCTCGCTTGAAACCACCAAGCATAAACGAGGTTCCACAGAACCTGGACACCTATGGCTATGTCCTGCCTCACCTACGTCTGAATCATGTCTATGTATGCACAGAGTGAAGGCGCCAGGTACCTCCAAGCCCAAGAACCCAAACGACTCCAGCTGCTTGCACGCATTAAGTTTGGTTTGTTTACAAAATGCATCACAATCGGCAGCTGTGTGCCACATGCAAGATTTTCACGCATTCCCTATTTTTTGGTCTCTCCACCACGCCACGAAAGCAGAGCCTAGTGCAAACACCAGCAAGGCTAAATAGATAATTTTATTCCACGTATTTCTTTTTTCCCGAGGAATCTTGACCACTATATTGCATCACTCCCGAAATGCAGGAGTGAAAAATTCAAGAAACGTGTTCTAAATTTAATTTGCAAGATGAATATCACCATTGAGCACTCATGTTAACAGATTTTAAGTCAAATCAGCTGATTACAACATTTTGCCAGAAAAGTATTGGTTTTTATATTTATTTAACGACTTTTGTTTTTCCTGGTATCATACGAGTGTGATACCACTTTATCTTCCTTCCCTTTCGATTGCCTTTAGAGGGTTACTATCTGTTGCTTGAAATGTTGACCAATTTCTCTGCAACATACGCCAATTGCGAACTTGTGCGTATTTGATACATAACTTGGATTAATGCGCCAGCTGCCCAAACATGTTTGAAATGCACCCAAGAGTGAACAAATCACTGGTAATGAAGCAGACAACATGAAACACGGAACTTATTTTTACCGCCATTTTTGCCCAGTTAAACGCTTGGTTAACCGTATTCTTGGTTCATGGCGGCGCTCAATAATGATAAATCTAAGCCTTTCGAGTGTCTAACTCACCAGGCTACCTGAGGAGGCTATCCTGATGTTGCCGTATAGAGCTTTGGGGACAGACCTGACGCAGCTCATACAAAAGTGTTTGACGGCGAAGTTCTGCCCTCTGGAGACATTTGCCACGCAAACCTTTTACTTGCTGCACCTTTTAAACTCGCAGGTTGGTGGGCATGATTTATACTTATATTGGGGGGAGGGGGGAGGGGGAGTGGGATGACTCTGTCTGCCAACAGACCATGCAAAAGGTACTGACTTTTTGTCTTGGGGGAGCAGGAAGAAGTCAGTAAATCTCCTGTGGACCAAGTAAATGCTTACCTCACCTGCTTTCAACACATGATTGATGACCAGAGCTAGCCATTTTCTGTTTCAATCAATCGAGTTTTGTCAGAAGACAAATTATGATGCCACAAGGCATGCAATGAGCTTATTTATTTTTGACTATTTGCCCCAAATTTCTTGAAGTGGTCCCTCACGTCTGCTTCAACCATATTTTTTATAGTTGTCATGGTTTGATGACTGGCAAATCCTTGTTCTGTAAATACGCACTATATTTTTAACACAGGGATACTCTAAGCTGCATAGTGATTATAATCTGAGTTGAATATTAGTATGTAACAAGTAGTCAGACCATCGCATTTAAAATGTGAAGCCAACATCTCAAACTTTGTCATTGAATATGAATAAACAAGCCTAAATAGACGCCCTTGCTGCTGCTGAAAAGGCAAGCAGCAATACTCGCACGGTCATCTAAAAGCTATGCTACTTTTGGAAAAGACAGATTGTTTTGTGAAGCATATCCATTATTGCCCCTGACATAGGTTAACCATGACAATCAAAATAAGTTGTTCAAAGTGATTTAAAGTGTTTTAATTTGTGTGTTGTCAACTTTGTCTGATGTCAACAAGCATTCACAAATTAACAATAAAAACGCAAGTTGAAAGCAGTCAAAAATCAGCGTTATCATGTTTTTATCACAAGTGCTGCTGTCAACAGAAAGGTGAGTTGAGATGATGTCCAACATATGGGCTAGTCTAAGTTAGGTTAAGTTGGGCAAGTGCATGGCAAGTGGCAACAGGAATTGTGCAAGAATCAGTAACTCACAACTGCTGCTGTGATACAGATAGGGTAGACAAGATCATATAAAGTAAGGCCACTTTAGGCTAGGCATTGTTAGGCTACTTTCATGGAAAAAGACGTTGGTATTTTGTAAGAAACAATGCCAATTTTTTTCCCTGACCCCATCTTAACAGATGCCAGAGGTATGTATATTGTGTATGACTTGGTGGTGAGCTGTGGATGAGTCCAAGGTCTTATTGTTTGACTGTTTTATGCTTGTTTAATTTTCTGTTGTTATTTTGTTATTGAATTCCTTTGCTCTGTTTTGTGTTATAAGTGCTGTGGAAGGGAAGTGCAAAGTGCATCATGAAATCATCGGTATTAATAGCTTTGTATGCTCAATACGCTGCCATGAAATTACTAAGCTTTAATGTATTCTGTTTCACTTGAATGGCCTAA